ATATTTTGAAGAATGTTGGTAACCAAACAGTTTATGGTTTACAGTAGCCACAGTATGCAAAAATACAATGGCTACCATCAACTGTTTGGTTACCTACACTCTTCAAAATATATTTTTCTGTGCTCAAACACTCATACAGGTTTGGAACAACTTGATGTAAGGAAATGATGACAATTTAAATTTTTTGGCCAAATGAAGCCTTTAAGTTTTCTGTAACATTATGTTCACATATGCAAACGTTGCATTATCTAATTAAATATGCACTCATTTGCATATATTTCCAGAATAATAAACTGAACATTGCATAAAGCCTGGTCCAATTTTTTTTTTACATATTAGAGTTAAAGGCTTTTACTGAGGGGATCTCTCTTTTAATCGCTCCATAAATCACAAAATACCGCCAGAAAAAAACCACCATATTTAGAGGTTACAGTGGGTACGGAAAGTATTCAGACCCCCTTACATTTTTCACTCTTTGTTATATTGCAGCCATTTGTTAAAATCATTTAAGTTAATTTTTTTTCCTCATTAATGTACACATAGCACCCCATATTGACAGAAAAACACAGAATTGTTGACATTTTTGCAGATTTATTAAAAAAGAAAAACTGAAATATCACATGGTCTTAAGTATTCAGACCCTTTGCTGTGACACTCATATATTTAACTCAGGTGCTGTCCATTTGTTCTGATCATCCTTGAGATGGTTCTACACCTTCATTTGAGTCCAGCTGTGTTTGATTATACTGATTGGACTTGATTAGGAAAGCCACACACCTGTCTATATAAGACCTTACAGCTCACAGTGCATGTCAGAGCAAATGAGAATCATGAGGTCAAAGGAATTGCCTGAAGAGCTCAGAGACAGAATTGTGGCAAGGCACAGATCTGGTCAAGGTTACAAAAAAATTTCTGCTGCACTTAAGGTTCCTAAGAGCACGGTGGCCTCCATAATCCTTAAATGGAAGACGTTTGGGATGACCAGAACCCTTCCTAGAGCTGGCTGTCCGGCCAAACTGAGCTATCGGGGGAGAAGAGCCTTGGTGAGAGAGGTAAAGAAGAACCCAAAGATCACTGTGGCTGAGCTCCAGAGATGCAGTCGGGAGATGGGAGAAAGTTGTAGAAAGTCAACCATCACTGCAGCCCTCCACCAGTCGGGGCTTTATGGCAGAGTGGCCCGACGGAAGCCTCTCCTCAGTGCAAGACACATGAAAGCCCGCATGGAGTTTGCTAAAAAAACACCTGAAGGACTCCAAGATGGTGAGAAATAAGATTCTCTGGTCTGATGAGACCAAGATAGAACTTTTTGGCCTTAATTCTAAGCGGTATGTGTGGAGAAAACCAGGCACCTGTCCAATACAGTCCCAACAGTGAAGCATGGTGGTGGCAGCATCATGCTGTGGGGGTGTTTTTCAGCTGCAGGGACAGGACGACTGGTTGCAATCGAGGGAAAGATGAATGCGGCCAAGTACAGGGATATCCTGGACTAAAACCTTCTCCAGAGTGCTCAGGACCTCAGACTGGGCTGAAGGTTTACCTTCCAACAAGACAATGACCCTAAGCACACAGCTAAAATAACGAAGGAGTGGCTTCCCAACAACTCTGTGACTGTTCTTGAATTGCCCAGCCAGAGCCCTGACTTAAACTCAATTGAGCATCTCTGGAGAGACCTAAAAATGGCTGTCCACCAACGTTTACCATCCAACCTGACAGAACTGGAGTGGATCTGCAAGAGGGAATGGCAGAGGATCCCCAAATCCAGGTGTGAATAACTTGTTGCATCTTTCCCAAAAAGACTCATGGCTGTATTGGATCAAAAGGGTGCTTCTACTAAATACTGAGTAAAGGGTCTGAATACTTAGGACCATTTGATATTTCAGTTTTTCTTTTTTAATAAATTTGCAAAAATGTCAACAATTCTGTGTTTTTCTGTCAATATGGGGTGCTGTGTGTACATTAATGAGGAAAAAAAATTAACTTAAATGATTTTAGCAAATGGCTGCAATATAACAAAGAGTGAAAAATTTAAGGGGGTCTGAATACTTTCCGTACCCACTGTAGATAACAAATAAAACAAAACATCACACTCTAGAACTCTTGATTCATTTGACTGCATGATGAATCAATTACAAACAATTGCATCTTTTATTCTCTGGAAGCTGGGCTAAATGAATGGGTCAGACTCTTGGTCATATCCCAAATACAGACATTGAATATAACATTAATACCAGAATAGATGCAATGGATTTAAGAAAAGTACGATTCCCAATTGAATTATTCCCTATTCATTATATAACAAAAGAGGAGGGCATCCACTCCTTCATTATGACTTCAGAAGACTTGGTACTGTATCATGCTAACTGACCTCACATCAGATAAATGACTGACAACCCAAAAATCCTAGCAAACTGCTGTGCTGTCTTTTTTTAAATTCAGTTTTGTTTGTCAGACTTACTAAACTATCGGTGACATATCCTTTTTTTTGGTAAATATTGGGATTGCGAAAATACAAGTGTTGAATGAGTGGTAGACAGCATGAACTAAACTTGCAGATTTTAATGATTGTCCAAAAGCAATACATCTCTATATTTGCACAAAATAAATTAATAGTAGAATGCAGTATGGTGGATATTTTTATAAAGTGATAGTTTAATTAGCGCTTTTCTGACTTCTTGACGCTTGTGTAGATTTCCCCTTGTAATTTCACCATTTTCTCGTATTGTGCCATTATATTTAGATTTCATCATAACAACCTGAAACAAATGTTTTCTGTTTGCACAATGATAAACCGCATTTTACAGAATTAGTTCCAAAATCATCATGCACATCAGTGAGCAAGCTGACTCGCTCTTAGAAAGTTGTGGGTGTGGCTAAGTAATCACCGTCGTTGTAAAGTCAAATGTGTGGAACACTTTTAAGATACTTTAATGGAGCTTTTTTTTTTTTTTGCCCTTTTGGAGCTTGGCAGTATAAATCAACATTTACTTTTACTGTATTGAAAACTGAAGCTCTCATTTTGTGTTTCACAGAAGAAAGGAAGTCACACAGGTCTTGTATTTCTATTGAGTTCAGGACACAACACGACCATGTCTGAACAAGTGACTCTTAAGAGCCTCTTCTTTTTAGCGAATGACAAACATACAGCATGACCAGTGTTGCCTGATTCCTAAAACAAATGAGCCAGTTCTTTTAATGAATAGCTCAAAGAGATGAGTTACCAGTTTTAATCGCTGAGTCTGAAACACTTCCCTGTAAAATTTTATTCATATGTAAGCAGAGCAGACATTATAACTAAAATATACATAAAATATATATAACCCAAATAATTTAAATTGAATCCATTTTAACACTCTCTTTTTGAATTTACCCTCAGTCTACGGTGATGAGCCGCAAGGAGATCGAGCTGGAGTATGAGGGCCTGGTGAAACGCTCGGAGCAGCTCCTCTCCTCAATGCAGAAGAAGAAGCAAGAGCAGGAGGAGACGGAGCGACTCAAGCGCATCCAGGAGGAGATGGAGAGAGAGCGGAAGAGGAGCGAAGAAGAGGAGCAGTTGCGCAAACAGGAGGAAGACGACCGCCGCATGTGAGTCACGTCGCAAGTTTCGAATCGGATGAACCGTACATTAGGTCAAAGTCCCAGCGCATTTGAAAGAAGAACAGGAGCTGAAAAAAAGGGTGTGGGAGGGGATTGGCAGAGAGATTAATACATCACTGGAGGGTTCGGCTTGACCTGCTCTCTCTTATGCATTCTCCAGAGCTTGCTGTCATGGACAGCATCTGTCATCGTTTCACGAATCAGGCCATGATGATATTTTTATGTTTATAGTCTTGTCAAAGAATATTCAGTTCCACACTAGTAGATGCAACAACAGCAACTTTTATCCCACTGCGTGCTTTGTTTTGTGCGGCCCATCCACCTTGGAGCCCTTCCTTATGGATTACTAAATTATCTGGATTTAATTTTGTAACTTTTTAATTAAATTACATTATTTAGTTTTATGTAACGTAAATGCGATTACCACATAGCTTTATAGGCAGTTGGCTGCTCCATTTATACAAGTTATTTATTCATTATTCATTATTAATGATAATGTCATGTAGCAATAATATTAAATAATATAATAATTATATATATTATAGTATACAGGTGCATCTCAATAAATTAGAATGTCGTGGAAAAGTTCATTTATTTCAGTAATTCAACTCAAATTGTGAAACTCGTGTATTAAATAAATTCAATGCACACAGACTGAAGTAGTTTAAGTCTTTTGTGAATTGGTGGGTTTTTGTTAAATGTGAGCCAAAATCATCACAACTAAAAGAACCAAAGACTTAAACTACTTTTCACAATTTGAGTTGAATTACTGAAATAAATAAACTTTTCCACGACATTCTAATTTATTGAGATGCACCTGCATAATATATTAATAATAAATAGTATGTGCAGTACAGTATAGAATATATGATATAATAATAAGACCCAGAATCCCATTGTCATATTGTGATGGAGAAAATCATTCAGTGTCGCCTGCTTTTACCTCATACATTTATTGGAGCCAACATTTTGCTGTACAACTCCAGTCAACATACATTAACAACAACTAATGGTTTGGATTAGCCTTAAGTTCTTTGCACTCTCTGTATGGAGAACTTTTTAAGAATGCTGTCTGCTGTGCCATTATGAATTTGAACCTGCCCCTTATAAAATATATTATAATTTTCTTTGTTTTCTGGCCAGGTAAGAATACAAGCTTTTAAAGCGAACCTTTAAAAGTTTATTTACATACATTAACAATTATGACATTTTACATATCGAGGGTTTCATATACAGTAGGGTCCAAAACTTCTGAAAATCTGGTCACAAAATCTGGTATTTAAAATCCAATTTACAACTGGAAATAAAGTTTTAGGATTATGATGTCCTGTAAAATTAGTTATAAAAATAGGATATTACCATTCAAAAGTGTTTTTTGTTTAATAAATTATTTTATTCAACAAGAACACATTAAATTGATCAAAAGTGACAGTAAAGACATTTATATTATTACAAAGATTTCCATTTCAAATAAATGCTGTTTTTTTTTACTTTCTATTCATCAAAGAGTCACAGTTTACACAGAAATATTAAGCAGCTAAACACTGATAATAATAATAAGAAATGTTGCTTGTTCACCAAATCAGCAGATTAGAATTGTAACACTGAAGACTGGAGTAATGGCTGCTGAATAGCTTTTGCCATCACAGGAATAAATTACATTTTAAAATATATTAATATAGAAAACAGATGCTATTTCTACTATGACATGACTTTTTGGTTTTGTTCATTTCAGCTCAAATGTTGCTTTCTTAAAGCAAAAGTGTAAATTGTAAAATCCAGTGCTCTGAGACTTTTGGACCCACTGTAATGCAAATTGCACTCCTTTATTGTGAGCAGCAAAACATTCACTTGAATCTATGTCATTACTGTACCCTCTATCCCCCCTCCTCATGCTTATGTTTTAGAAATCTCCCTATTTTCAAGGTCTTCAGTTTGGCAAGGTTGCATATATCAGTACCCAAATCCATGAACAACAAAGTACAAAGAAAGATGCAGCAGATTTTGTTGGCTGTTTGTGAGATGTATAATATATATTGGTCTTTTGATATGAAAATGCTAACATTTGGTAACGACGCTCACCAACAATGCTCAGACCACACTATTCAATTTCGGCTGCTATTGAAGGGTCTCGCTTGAACTACAAAGACTAGATGCAGTCCACGTTTCTCTTTGTGACAATCCACCTGTGGGTGTTTTCACGTCCCTTCCTGTGGGTCATTGATCAGGAGGAATAATTCCCCGCAGGCCGGTGTAACTCATTAACGGTCCACCCTCAATTTCTCTCCCATCAGGAAAGCCGAGATGGAGCAGAAGAGGAAACAGGAGGAAGAGGAGAGGAAGAAAAGAGAAGAGGAAGAGCGTGTCATGCAGGTGTGTATGTGTATAAGTGCTCCCTCTGTGTATTGATTCCTCTCCTCCGCTGACTCCTTCGGAAAACCAAATGCCCACTCCGTCTCACGCTGGCATGTTCAGAGCTGGCCAGGACTGGCTGTTCTGCAGGCATAATCATGACTGTATTGAGCTGCCACAGCGGCCTGTGGGTTTTTTCATCAGCCCCTGCCTGCCTCCTGGGGCTGGATTATGCTGCGTCTGTGGAGTGAAAGTCCTATGTCCCCTCTCTCCCAGTGGTGATGCTGTGTTTGGGGGCTTGGCTGACTTCCCTTGCGCTGCTCCCTCTAAATGAATCGTCCTGCAGAGACGCTTTGTGCCCAAGCTGCCCGAAAACTGTCGCACACTCTTCACAGGCTTCTGTGCTGCTTTCTATTCTATTCTATTCTATTCTATTCTATTCTATTCTATTCTATTCTATTCTATTCTATTCTATTCTATTCTATTCTATTCTATTCTATTCTATTCTATTCTATTCTATTCTATTCTATTCCAGGGCTAAATCCTGTTTGATCTATTTTCAATCTACCCCATTTTATATTCAACTGTTCTACTGAATTGTGTTATGAAAATTTTATTCTGATTCTATTTTCTGTTCTGAGGCATCTTCCCTGTACTATTTTCCTTCTGTGCCATTTTTTTAAAACGGTTCCATTTTTAAATGCTCTGTTAATTATTAAAACACTCTATTCTATTCTGTTCTATCATGTTCTATTCTATTCTATTCTATTCTAGAAATTATCTGTTACTGTGGCCTTTTATGTTACAGTTCTCTATTTTATTCTGATTCTGTTCTATTCTGAGGCATGTTATTTTTTTCTTAGAATTAGAACTCTCTATTCTGTTCTATTGTATACTATTCTTTTCTATACTTTAAGAGAATTATTTAATTCCTTCTGAGCCATTTTGGTAACACTTTAAAATAAAGTTCCATTTGTTAACATTAGTTAACTGCATTTGTTAACATGAACAATACTTCTATAGTATTTATTTTATTAGTTAATGTTTCAGCGTTTACTAATACATTTTTAAAATCAACCATTGCATCTGTTAACATATTTAACAATTATTCATTTTGTTAATAATAACAGTAATGCATTCTGAACTCACGTGAATGAACAATTATATTTTACCAACTGATTAATAAAAAATATTGCTGTGAAAAATATATGGCTAATTAGTTCATGTTAGATAAAGCATGAACTAATGTTAACAAATGAGACCTTATAAAGTCTTTTAAGTCTATTTCTATTAAATGGTTTTATTCTGTTCTATATTGTGCCATTTCTGTTGTTTCATGTCTTTCTCTCTTTTTCTCTATCTATCTCCCCCTATATATATATATATAATGTGTGTGTGTGGGTGATCAATGTTGATTCTATCACCTTGGCTTGAAAATATATTCTTTTCTGTTAACTTCAAAAATATCTTGGGGTCCTTGAATAAATTTAAGACCTTTGCAGAAGAAAACATTTGCAATCCATTCAAAGACTGCTGTCACACTGTTTATAACATTTTTATCACTGTTATTTTCGGACATAATACATCACTCCATTTTCCACCAAGTCTCTCCTGCTTTTAGCAGTTTGATTCATAGCTCAGATTTATCATGTTTACCAGTGTTTGCTGTAACCCTCCCTCTCTATATATGTCTTTGCATATTTGGGTATTCAGCCTCAGCTGCCTTGCTCAGAATAGCGCTTGCACCATTCTTCTTTCTGTCCAAGGTTTTCTCTGTGAAAATGTTCCATCTAAGCTTTTCTCTTCAATCACTCCTTTGCTCTGTTTTGACCTATGTTTTTGGACCACGCTGCTGGACTCTGTCCCAGACTGTCCTCACACATCTAAAACCATGCTGTTAATTTCATTTGTTTTTATTCTTTTTCCTTTTTTCATTTACCACAGTCTAGACGTAGAATCCCAAGCCGGCTGGCTGCGGTACAGCCTCGATTATACACCTAATCAGACTTTAGCACACAGCAGGAGCGTAATGGCTTAATATCCTTTCAGTGGGCAGTGCTATAGATGGGTTACAGTGCATCTGGGGCAGGGCTGCCCCTCTAATCTCTCTTCCCTCAGCTGTACCAGACGTCAGCGGATGGGGAGATTGAGGGAATTTTGTAGCCTGCCTTAAACAGCATCATGGTGATTGCGCAAAGAAATGTTACGACCAAAAACTGCCACAACCTTCCTAAAAGTCAGCAAAATCAGGTGTTAGCAGGTATATGCTTTTAAACTGAACTTTCTTTTTTAGGAAAACTGAACAAAATATTCTTCATCTAGCACTCGTGGGCATATCAAAATATTTGTCCATTCAAATGCTCTCCAGATTGAAAACGTCTTGCCCCTGCCTCTGACTAGCAAGTAGCACATTATATTTCAAGGCTGTGATGTAAACAAAAAGCTCCTGGCTATTTTAAGAAAAGGGACAAGTCTTGCCACGACTTCCTGTTTCAACAAGAATCATCAATACCTTTCCCTCCTAATGCCAGTATGACGAACCTTAACTGTTCATTTAGGCCGGAGAAGAACTGGTTCCCTGACTAAGCCTGGTTTCTCAAGTTTTGCTTTTTTCCCTCCATTTCTGTCACCTTGATGGAGTTTGGGTTCCTTGCCACCTTTCGATTTGGCTTACATAGTTGGGTCTAAAAAACACTACACAATATTACAATACAATACAAAACACAAAATACAGTAATGTCATTGATTTGACGGCGCTGATTATCAGATGAGAACAAAATTTGAACTGAATTGAGCTGAATAATAACACTATGGTCTGTTGCAGAGCTACTTTAGAGTGGAATGAAATTCATTAATTCATGAATTTTGCAACATTTGCACTGTTATTGAACTGAAATGAACACTGAACTGACTTGAGTTGAATAACGACACTACTGTCTTCATTTGAACTGCTTATCACTGAATTGAGCTTGTTTCATAATGAATACATTTACATAGTTATTGAACTGAACTGAACCAACACTGAACTGACTGGAGCTGAAAAAAATTATACAATTGCCTTGCTGCTGCTGCTGCTTAATAGCAGAATTTCGGATTTGCCTCATTTTTGAAGTTTGCATCATTGATTCTGTTACTTTCTTGTTTTTATACTGTGAAGCTGCTTGACAGCGCAGAAACTGCGCCCATCAAACCATTAAATGCGGTCCAGGCTGGGTTTTACTGGTTAATTCTGGTTTGGTGCTGGTCTAGGAGGTTTTGATAAAGGACACCAGCAAAAGTATCCAAAAGTCTTTTACTTTTTTTTAAAAACAGGGATAGTATCAAACTCATTGGGATTCTTCTTTGACCCACCAGAGTTCAATGCTCTGAACTCAAATATGTGGTCATTACTGTCGGCACCCCTGCCGGCACCCATTTGCATGCTTGTGTCTCTGTGTGTTACCATCCAGTTGGAACTGAATGAAGGCACAGGTGTGGCAAACGCCGAAGGTGTTGAGATTGTGTGTGTGTGTGTTATTGATTTGTAGGAATGTATGTTTGTTCCAGGCTGAACTTGAGATGCAGCTGGCATTGGAGCGAGAGGAAGAGACTCAGAGACAGACCATGTTTGAGCAGGAGAGGAGGGACAGAGAGTTGGCCATGAGGATCGCTCAGAGCGAGGCAGAACTCATCCAGGATGAAGCTCAAATGGACCCCAGCTTGCGCAGGTATACACACACACACACACACACACACACACACCATAATAAAATAATAAAGTCGACATCTCAAATGGCGTCACCAGGTGAAATCAAACAAAGGAAGACTCCACGCCGGGTTGTGCCCTGGTTACCATTCATAAAACGCACATAAATCTCAGATATTTTTAAATGGAGATTTCCATCTGAAAAGAGCCTGTATGGTCTTGAGTGGCGACAGAACAACAAACAAAGAACAAGGTTCTGCCAGACAGCGTTACATAAATGCCATGAATCATTTTTACTGCGGCCAACCCATGTGTCTACAAAAGCAGGTAAACAGAAACACGAGACGCCTGCGGTGCAGCACTGAGAGTCATATTTCATTTAGTTAATGGAAGTGGACAAAGAAGTGTCGCCTGTTCTTACTTTATGTATAATAAAATAAAAGGCTGTTCTGCTGTTATTACATGTGCTAACTCGGTGCTAAGAAGACCGTGTTGTCATCCAAACCTTTTTTTTGTGCTTTCTCTCCCCTCCAGTGATGGTTGCACAGGTGTTTGGTTCTTCACAGAGATGTAAGACCTAGAACAGGCCTCTTTTTTTCCTTTGATTTTCCACTTCATTCAGTCTAACCACACTCACCCACAATCACGTCCTGTCCCCCTAATCTCACCACAACCTAGATAGAGGATTACTCATAGAAAGTCACGGTAAACAATGGGCAAATTCTTAGTTTTGATATTAACCTAAATACTTCATAAAGTACATGAATAAATTATTTTATTGGAGTTCTTGGATTGAATAGAGACCTAGCACGTGGTTATATTTGTATATTTGTATTTTCCAACAGAAATGGAGCGTGAACCAATTAAATCCAGGACACAGAACTTGAGTTTTTTTTTCTTCTTACTATTGTTCATTCTTTGAACAACCCCCCAACACTAAATATTAATATTTGCCATTTAATATTAATATACAATAATATACCATTTTTTGCTTGACAAATGATAAAATGGCCACAAATCACATAAACTTGCACTAAATGAAGGATCCAAGTCATATCTAGAGATCAGAATATCATAGAGAGTTGAGAATGAGCTCTTTTGACTTAGGAAAGCACTTATCAACACAATATAGAATGTATAGGAATGCCCTGGCAACCACTCAAAATACTCTATTGTTGTGGCATCTATTTTTTTTTACACTTAAGCACCACTCATATTTTCCTCAGAAAATGTTAAAAGTTAGTTGTAGATTAGAAAAATTACTAATTAAATTTAATTATTAAAAATTGCTAAAGAAATCTTAGACATAGAAAGAGCATTTAGGAGTCTCTTATAGGTGTTGATCCATTTTGATCTTATTTCCTTTTTCTGAGCTCAACAACCCTATTTCCATTTACTTATGTTGCCTCAAAATATATGTTGAATTTATGCATGTCTCAAGCTCTCAGCATGAACATTTTCAGCGCTGGATGATGGTACTTGAGAAAGAATCTTGCCTTTTTGTTTTAGTGTTTACTGAGAAGGGTTGCTTTAAAAGAAAAGAGAATTTTGTTGCAGTGTGTTTATGATTCTCATTATTGTGCTGTCATCTGGAGTCATCAATTAGTTTATAGCAGAGGGAAATCTGTCACAATAAAATATCAGCCTGTTTGGTCTTCTCTGCACATCACTTAGGAAATGCCCCATATGGCAGTTTACCAGTGCTGTGGAGTCATTAACTAGAATCAGTGGTGCTTCTAACTACCTACATTTTTATAGTAATAATTTTAGAGGTTTGGAATATACAGTTCTATTGCAATTTTTACGTATTCTATTTTCTACTGAATGCCATAGTCATTGATTGCTTTAAGAAATGCTTAAAATGTATGAATGTCATTGCTTTGCATAAAATATCAAATGACATCTGCAAACTAATTATGGTAAAATGCAGTCTCAGACACTTTTGTTTACTTATCAGTCTTGAAAATGGCTGCACTTCTTATGATTTTTGTAGAAACAGCATTTATATGAAATTAGTCTTTTGTAACATTATAAGTGTCTTTACAGTCTTGTAATAATATAATATATTATATAGTCATTTTAATATTTAATAAAATTACTTTTAAAAATTATTTATAAATCTTCTGCTTGGAAAATGTGCTTGTGCTGTCTTTACAATAAATGGCACTTGGTTTGATATTTTGTTATATATAATGCAGTAACACTGATACATTTTTAATATGTAGATCTTTTTTGGGGACGCTGTATATTTTAAAAGGTATTTCCCCCATTAAAGGGGTGGTTCATTGCGATTTCACTTTTTTAACGTTAGTGTGTAATGTTGCTGTTTGAGCATAAACAATATCCGCAAAGTTACGAAGCTGAAAGTTCAATGCAAACGGAGATATTGTCTTTTAAAATTCTGGCAGTTTAATGCCTACAAAAACGGCTGGTAGGGACGTTGCTGTACTGTATTAAAGCTTTAATCAGGATAAAACCGTATATTAAAAGCTAACATAAGCAGTAGCATTTACAAATAACAGCATATCTAAAAGTATGAGACAACAACAAACAAAAAACATAGGCCTACCATTAAAAGCCGTGCTTGCACAGGTTCTGCACGATCCTCTTCAATAATATCCTCTGCTTCTCAATCGGGCTCAAACTGATAAGCGATATTAACCATGCCGTTGTTTACAATACAACCGGTGCACATGTCGCTGAGGTGAGGGGCGGGACGTTTAGACACGCAGTAGAGGCGGTTTAGCCAATCACAACACACTGGGCTAGCTAACCAATCAGAGCACATCACCTATTTCTGAGGGTGGGGCTTCATAAAAACAGGAAAAGATCAGCCCGTTTCTCAGAGAAGGGACAGAGCTGTGTGGAATGAAGGTAAATTATGTGAAAAATAATGAAATTTTTTTTAAACGAAGCATTAACACATGTAAGAATGCACCCCATAAACGCAATCAAGCCTAGAAAAAACCCAGTGAACCACCCCTTTAAGTAGTTTTAATGTAGTTCAGTACTTTTTGTTATTAGTTTGAAATGTAGTAATCACTTTCTTAAATGCTTGCTCGACTGTAGTTTAACTGCTTTGAATTATGAGTAGCTTCCCCAGCACTAGTGTTGACATTTCTTTCTGTTCCTCTGAGTGTTTGAGTTAGCACTCCGCTTACACCTGTATGAGTGGGTTAATCAGCAGGGTTGCTGGTTCAGTGACTTCTCTCGCAGGGTCTCCGTTAAGCAGCTTTGCTCTTCACAGCTGTCAGAGTCGACAGAGTGTCCCTACATCCATTGTCACCATGTTATGCCACGCAAGAGCTCCTCCCAGACACACACTCACCACTCACACTGACAACCCTTCCGTCTCTTCTGGGACTTCTGTCACTGCTTTTATATGAGAAAGTTTGCTTTAAGGCTGTAGGGTGACATCATCACTTCATGACTTTAAATCTTGGTCTCAGGTACTGGAATAATTGTCTTCTGTGGAAATGATTCGGCTCAGGAGATTGCAGGTCTTTCTTAAGTAGGATGGAAATTATGAGCTTGTTATTGAAGTCACCTAATCAAACGACAATCTCTCATAAGGTTATCAGAGTTAATCATTCCTCATACTATTATACAGTGGTCAGCGTAAAGGAGTACACCCCCTTTGAAAAGTAACATTTTAAACAATATCTCAATGAACACAAAAACAATTTCCAAAATGTTGACAAGACTAAGTTTAATATAACATCTGTTTAACTTATAACATGAAAGTAAGGTTAATAATATAACTTAGATTACACATTTTTCAGTTTTACACTTTGTATGGCCTCCATGATTTTTAATGACAGCACTAAGTCTTCTAGGCATGGAATGAACAAGTTGGCGACATTTTGCAACATCTATCTTTTTCCATTCTTCAAGAATGACCTCTTTTAGAGACTGGATGCTGGATGGAGAGTGATGCTCAACTTGTCTCTTCAGAATTCCCCATAGGTGTTCGATTGGGTTCAGATCAGGAAACATACTTGGCCACTTAATCACTTTCACCCTGTTCTTCTTCAGAAATCCAACAGTGGCCTTAGATGCGTGTTTAGGATCATTGTCATGTTGGAAAAGTGCACGACGACCAAGGGCACGGAGTGATGCAGCTTCTCTTTCAGTATAGAGCAGTACATTTGTGAATTCATGATGCCATTAATGAAATGCAGCTCCCCGACACCAGCAGCACTCATGCAGCCCCACATAAGGACACTGCCACCACCTTGTTTCACTGTAGGCACCATGAATTTTTCTTTGTATTCCTCACCTTTACGACGCCATACAGTTTTGAATCTTGGTCTCATCACTCCAGAGTATAGAGTTCCAGTAGTCTTCATCTTTGTCAGCATGGGCCCTGGCAAACTCCAGACGGGCTTTTTTTGTGCCTGGGCTTTAGGAAAGGCTTCTTTCGTGGACGGCACCCATGCATGCCATTCCTCTGCAGTGTACGCCGTATTGTGTCTCGGGAAATAGTCACCCCAGTTTGGCTTTCTACTTCTTTAGATAACTGCAGTGAACTTGCATGCCGATTTTCTTCAACCCTTCTCATCAGAAGACGCTCCTGTCGAGGTGTTAACTTCCGTGGACGACCTGGATGTCTCTGTGAGATGGTTGCAGTTCCATCTTTTTAAAATTTTTGTACCACTTTTGCTACAGTATTCTGACTGATAAGTAAAGCTTTGCTGATCTTCTTGTAGCCTTCACCTTTCTTGTGTAAAGAAATTATTTTCTTTCTCAGCTCTTGTGACATTTCTCTTCCATGTGGTGCCATTGCTGACAGCATGGGAAGGGGTTTTCTTTCAGTAACACCCTTTTATAGTCAACTGTCTGCTGGACACCTGTGTAATGAATAATTAGACTCACCTGTGGTTGAATTCTTGTTAAATTAGACATTTGTAGTCTAAAATTTAGCTTTGCTCCAGAGACTTTCAGTGGGGTGTACTCATTTTTGCATCACCCTAATTTGAGTAAAACTGAAAATTTTGTTCTCTAAGTTATA